ACCACAACTAAGACCAGACACAGCCAAATAAAATAAATATTACAATAAAAGACTTTAAACAATTTTAAAATAATTTATTTTATAAGTTAAAATAATTTATTTATATGACTGAGTCAGGTCTTACTTGTAGTACAGAGAATTTTCGATCTTAAGGGATGCTGGATGTTTTAGTTGTGGAATGAGAACTCTTAGTGAGAGAGTCAATTCCTAGACAGGTTGATAAGAAGTCTGGGGATCCCCAAGGGGAGAGGGGTCTGGAATTTTCAAGGAGGAGGAAAGGACAAATTTTTTTCCCCTCTACATTCCTTAGGATTATATAATAATAATGTATCCTGCTTGAGGACAGTTTTTGGCAAAAACCTGGCTAATCCTGTTATCTTAAGATGTAAATTATGGGAATGGGTCTAGTAAGGTCTTTGCAACCTCCAGACATTCTTTTGATTCACTGTAATAAGTAATTAAAAAGTATATAACTCCATTGCTAACACTAGCGAGGGGGCACTCTTTCTGTCCCCTTCTGACATCTATGTCATAAACTTTCTCTATCTCTTTTATACTTTTACTCTATTACACAAAAGGTCTGAGTGATCGAGCCTCGTCTCTGGTCCCGGATTTAATTCTTCTCCTCCAGAGGCCAAGAATCCCAGCGTCTTTCGTGGTTCAGCAACAACCTTTCATTAGTTGTGGCATGCCAGATGAAGTTCCTGGAACAAGGATGGAACGTGGATCCCCTGCACTGGAAGTATGGAATCTTTGACACTGGACCATCAGAGAAGTCCCAACATGAGATAATTTGATGAAAAGTAATCACTGCTTCATGTTTCAGAAATCTTAAAAGAGTTGTTTTAAAGTTTATAATTATGTTGTGTTTACTAAGCATCTTTCTTCAAGCGTATCCTTAAAAGGTGGATTTCCACGAATTTTAGAAATGAATACTAATATGTTAATTTTGTAAATTATCTTTCAACACAAGTATGTAACGTTTAAAGGTAGAGATTTTTCCTTTAAACAGATAATTGAGTTTTTTCTCTTCCCATTTGAAGCCTGTGGAATCCATGGGTGAATTTCAGTGTTACTTCTACAATGCAACTAGAGTTAAATGTTTATAATGGTCTGTTCATTCACAGGTAATGGGCCATTGAAAAAAATGAGTTTGATATTTTATCTAAATGTTGATTTCTGTTTATGTGGCTGCAGCACTTGAGATCTTTGTTGCAGCATGTAAACTCTCAGTGTCAGCATGTGGGAGCCAATTCCCTGACCAAGGATGGAATAAGGGCCCTCTGCACTGGGAGCAGAGTCTTAGCCACAGGACCACCAGGGAAGTCCAAGCAGTTTGGGAGATGATTTGTCTTTCCTTCTGACTGGTATCTGTTGAACAGACTATGAGACTTGTGATAATCCAAAAATAAATCTAGAGTTGGAGATATCCTGCCGGTGAGTAATATTTGACATAGATTTTCTAGAATCTATTCCCTTTCTGGTTCCATTTTAATTCACCTGTATGTGATTTAAGAACAAATTCAAACACATACATTCCTCAGATATTGGCACACCAACACCATACTGAGACCTCTCCATCATCTGTAACACAGTCTGAATCCTAATTAAAAAGAATTTTTTTTTAATTGGAGGAAAACTGCATCACAATGTTGTGTGGGTTTCTGCCATACATCAACATGAATCAGTAATAGGTTTACATATGTCCCCTTGCTCTTGAACCTCCTCCCACATCCCACCCCAAGGCATGCTTGAGCAATGATTTAATAATAAATCATAATTTATTATTTTTTTTGCATTGCCATGCAGCATGCAGATCTCCCCCAACCAGGAAAAGAACTGTGCCCCCTGATTTGGAAGTGTGCATTCTTAAACACTGGACCACCAGGGATATCCCAGTCTAAATCCATTTCAATCTTTTATCTTTCCCAGCATTGAGCCTTTCCAATCCCCACTGATTTGGTACTTAAGGTAAAGAATTTTAAAACACTTTGCCCTGGTTAGAAGTTTGAACCCTGTAGCCCAGATGGATGCAAGGGTTCTTCTCAAACACACTGTGAGATAATTCATTAAACACTCTTATATACATTTCATACTGGAAGGAAATTTTTGGTCAGGTTTTGCTTCAAACCCTAGTGAACTCTGACATACAAATAACTACAGTGGCCCTAAGGAAACTGATTCCTGATTTTTTTCTAGTAGAAGTAACACACTAAATCTTTCCATAAATTGGGATTCACCTGGAAACTGTTCTCCCTCCCTTTCTGATAGCAGAAAGACAGCTGATATCAGTTATATGTAGAATCTAAAATATGTCACAAATGAATTTGTCTAAAAAACAGAAACAAACTCACAGACATCGAGAATAGACTTCTTGTTGCCACAGAGGAGAGATGATGGGAGGAGGAATGAACTGGAAGTTTCAAACTGACCTAATTAAACTATTATACATTGAACAGATCAACATCAAGGTCCTACAGTACAGTATAGGATCAATATCTTGTGAAAAACTCTAATAGAATAAAATATAAAAACAATGTCATATACAATGGAATCACTTTGTTATACAGCATAAGTTAATACAATATGGTAAATCATCTATACTTCAATAAAATTAATTTTTTGAAAACTGTAAAGTCTTTCAGAAAAGGTTCACTGGCAGAATGGTCCTATCTTTCTCTCAAGCCATCTTTTATTGTCTCACAATTTACATAAATTTATAGGCCTTGATTATGTCATAAGAGAGATTTAAAAAATATTACCTAGAATACAGAAGAACTGAATTTATGTATTTTACAACCCCAACTCAGTGATTTAAAAAAATGAAATCATAAAAATAACCAATAGTTCCCTTGCCTTACTAATGTGATTGAATGAAACTTCTTACTAATTAAGTTTAACTGCATGAGAAAATTTTTGCCTTGAAGAAAATGATTCCAGTCATCAGTGATAAAGTAAACATCTGAAAGCATTCAATAAAGAAAAGCACCTTGCTCCCTTGCGTAGCAATCCAATCCTCTAACACAAGTGCAACTCCTAGAAGAAGACCTTTGAGTGCCCTTTTACTGTTACATACCACAGTCTTATGGGCTTGTAACATTCGTTTCTTCTTAATTTTTATTGAAGTATAGTTGATTTGCAATATTATGTCAATTTCTGCTACAGCAAAGTGATCTTTTATACATATATATATACACACAAATATATATATATATACAAATATATCTCATTTCATATATTTCTACTTTATTACAGGATGTTGAGTACAGTTTTCTGTGCTTTACATTAGGATCTTGTTTATCTGTATTCATTCTTAATAGAATTTATTTCATCACAGTAATTGACTCCAGTAGAGTTGTGATCTTAAGGGTCATTGGCACAAAGGTATTGAAACATCCTATGATTTAACTTCTACAGTTAAAAATTAGAAATTATTAAAAAAATTAGAAATTACTTTTGATACTAATGCATATATATGAAATTTGGAAAGATGGTAATGATAACCCTATATGCAAGACAGAAAAAGAGACACAGATATATAGAACAGACTTTTGGACTCTATGGGAGAAGGCGAGGGTGAGATGATCTGAGAGAACAGCACTGAAACATGTATATTATCAAGTGTGAAACAGATCACTAGTCTAGGTTGGATGCATGAGACAAGTGCTCGGGGCTGGTGCACTGGGATGACCCAGAAGGATGGGATGGGGAGGGAGGTGGGAGGGGGGTTCAGGATGGGGAACATATGTAAATCCATGGCTGATTCATGTCAATATATGACAAAACCCACTAAAATATTGTAATTAGCCTCAAATTAATAAAAATACATGAAAAAAAAAAGCAAAGGAAAAAAATTTACTTTTGACACAAAACTGTAACTAAATCTAAGAAAATGGCCTGAGGATGAAGTAGCTAACCTTTTATGCACAGGATAAAACTAACTGTTATTGTGTAATGATTAACTGAAAAAAACTGCAAGGTTTTAAAGTCTACTCATAAGTAAAATGGGAACTTTATTCTTTCCAGAAACGAAAACCTAGTTTCTTAGGTAAGAAAAGCTTCCAGAAGACTCAGTAAATTATCTGAAACTACAAAAACTGTTTCACACACACACAAAAAAACCCTTTTAATCATATAAAATAAAATACAATAAAAAACATATTGGGGCATTATACTGAGGTACAAGTAACAAAAAGTACCCAAAGGCTTCCTGACAGAAGGAAGGTGTTTATTCTTATGGGGAAACAAAAAGTCTTTTCCACATTTTTCATATTTTATAGGATTCTTGTCCAGTGTGAATGTTTTCATACACCAGCACATAAGAGGAAGTGAAGGTTTTCCTGAGTCTTTTTCAATCACTGGATGTCTCTAAAGTATGGGTTCTTAAATGTTTACTTATACATGATTGATATCTATAACTTTTACCACATTGATGACATTGATATGGTTTCTCTCCAATGTGACTTCTCTGATGCATTTTAAGAGAACTGGTATTAATGAATGCTCTCTCACATTCCTTACATTTATAAGGACCATCTCCAGTATGTGTTATTTTGTGTTTCTGGAGGCTTTCCTTACATCTGTAGGCTTCCCCATATTCCATACACTCATAGTGTTTTTCTCCACTATGGATTTTTTCATGCCTTTGAAGAGAGCTGGACCAAGAGAATTCTTTAGAACATGTTTTACATACATATGTTTTCTCTCCTCTGTGATGTCTTTTGTGTGTCTCTAAGGACTTCAAATAATGGAAGGTTTTACCACACGGCTTACATTCATAGGGCTTCTCTGCCCTGTGAATTCTTTCATGTTTTTCAATACTTTCAGGACTTTTAAAGGCTTTTCCACATTGTTTACATTGATATGGTTTTTCTACATTGTGACTCCATTCATGCTTTCGAAGTTCAGAGCAAAAAATAAATCCTTTCGCACATTTCTGACATTTGAAAGGTACATCACCAGTGTGTGTTACCATGTGTCTTTGAAAAGTTACTTTCCACATGAAGGCTTTCCCACATTCTTTACATTCATAAGGTTTCTCTCCAGTGTGGGTTCTTTGGTGTTCTTGGAAGGAGTTTTGATATTGAAAAACTTTTCCACATTGTAAACATTTATAGGGTTTCTCTCCAGTGTGACTCCTTTCATGTATTTTAAGAGAACTGAAATGAATGAATGCTTTCTCACATTCCTTACATTTATAAGGGCTATCTCTAGTGTGTCTTATCATGTGTTTCTGGAGGCTATTCTTAAATCTGTAGGCTTTCCCACATTGTATGCACTCATATGGTTTTTCTCCACTGTGGATCGCTTCATGTTTTTGAAGAGTGCTGGCACAAGTTGATACTTTAGAACATATTTTACATACATATTGTGTCTCTCCTGTGTGAACTATTTTGTGTGCTTTTAAGGAACTCAAAGTATTGAAGTTTTTCCCACACTGGTTACATTCATAGGGTTTCTCTCCTGTGTGAATTCTTTCATGTACTGGAACACTTGCAGGACTTTTAAAGACTTTTCCACAGTGCTTACATTGATAGGGTTTCTCTCTATTGTGTTTCCTTTCATGATTTCTAAGCCAACTGGGAGTAAGGAATGCTCTCTCACACTTCTGACATTTATAAGTGTGTGTTAACATGTGTTTCCAGTAAGTTATTCTCCACAAGAAGGCTTTCCCACATTCCTTACATTCATAGGGTTTCTCCCCTGTGTGAGTTCTTTTGTGTTGTTGCAAAGAGTTTTGATATAAAAAAACTTTTCCACATTGTAAACATTCATAGGGTTTCTCTCCAGTGTGACTCCTTTCATGTGTTATGAGAGCACTTGGAGAAAAGAATACCTTCCCACATTCTTTGCATTTACATACCTTCTGAGGGTATTTTCGATGATCTCTTGGTTTGTCTTCAATATGACATTTCATGTATCTAGTGAGGGATGAACCACTCATGAAGGTATTTTCATATGCACTGCATTCCCATGGTTTTAAATCAGGAGTTTTTTCCCTCATTTTGAGAGTTGTAATAGGATTGAAGTTTTCTCCAAAGGAACTAATGTCTTTACTTACACAGAGCTTCTCTATCATTGGACTTCTGTAAATCATAAGAACAACATTCTAAATACATTTATTATTTTACATTTTTGTATTTATTATGGTTTATAGGAATAGTGAAGTTTTCTATCTTGTGGGAATTGTAACAAGTTGAATATACAGAATGCTTTCCAATAGAATTTCAACCTTTCTGTTAAAAAGTAATATTGAGGGCTTTCCGAGTGGCTTAGTGGTAAAGAATCCACCTGGCAATGCTGGAGACATGGGGTCAATTCCAGGTCTTGGAAGATCCCATATGTCGTGGAGAAACTAGGCTCTTGTACCACAACTACTGAGCCTAAACTCTACAGCCTGAGACCAAAAGTACAGAAGCCCAAACTCTACAAGAAATACATAAATAAATAAAATTATTTTTTAAAAAAACTAATATTCAAATATAGAGTTTATAAATATGAACTGTAAAATTACATTGGAAACATGGAACATTTCTTCCATATTTAAGAAAATATTTTGGAGAGACATTTTCAATAAATAAATTTGAAGATGAAGATATTTCTTTTCTTTGATTCCTATAAAATTTTCATTATACACCAAGATTTGGACATGAGACATGCTGTGTATCATGAATATGGCTCACCTTAATTTTTTCCCATGGTTTTTCTCCTGTTCATCAATGTCATGATCTGGCTGTTTTGCCACTGAAATGCAGAACCAGAAAAAATATGATCTGAAGTACTAGAAATTAAAGAAAAATTCATTGGATTTTAGGTCCATGATGAATTCTGACCCTGCTGAGTTTCTATTTCTTTCTTTTTTTTTCCTGCCATGCTGTGCAGCTTGTGGGATATTACTTCCTGAACCAGGGATTGAACCCAGGCCAGAGAGGTGAAAGAGTCAAGTCCTAACTTTTGGACTGCAGGAGAACTGCCCTTTATTTCCTCATAATTTCTTTACCAATGTATTGTCTTTCCACACTCCACATCTTTGAACAGTATAGACAGGTAAGAAACAACTCTCTAATAGATCAACGAAGGGAATTTTGTCATTCTTACCTACTGATGCCAGATTCCTAATGTTTTCCAACATCACATCTCTGTAGAGTGTCTTCTGTGAGGAATCCAGTAAAAGCCACTCCTCCCAGGTGAAATTCACAGCCACATCCTCAAAGGTCAATGAGTCCTAAAACACCCAGAATATGTGCACAGTGAGATGCATGAGACTGACACATTAGACATTTATACTCTATTTGTAAATGTTATGCAGCTTACTATGATTCTGTTCTTTAACAAGAGTTATGCTATGATGATCATGAGAAATTTACACTCCACACTTCCTCAAAAATAGAATAGCATCATAAAGAAATGAAATTATTTACACATCATTTCTGTGGTCACAGTATTATTTATATCACAATCATGGTCAAGCCAGAGAATGGAGGGAAATGACAGAAATCCTTTACAAATGAAACAAATACAATTTCAGGAACACTGATTTCCTGTGGAAAAATTCTTTCATCTTCTTCCTTATGGTATACATTTTATACTACTCCATGGGGCAGATGATCAACATTGCATAGGGTTTCAATGAATAAAAACCCAGCAAAAAAACTGGAAAGCCTTACAAACCTAACTTACAAAAAAACTTACAACCTAACATCAGAGGCCAGGTGACCAGTATAATTCAAATTTGACCAATGCCCAGCTGTCTACACTGTCCCAATGTCCTCTAGGTCTTTTGAAAAAAAAAAATCACCTGCAGCTGCCTGAATATAAATATTCTGCTGAAGAAACACTGCCTCTAAGTTGGTTGATAATAATCACAGAATCTGCTTTTCTCTTCTCTCTATGTAAAACTTGATGCAGATAGCAAGTGATTTCAACCTTAGACCTCAGAGATGAAGAATCACTAACGATATGTTAGACCACAAAATTTATTCTACCCAAGTGCCTCTGGGCACTTTGAGCCAAACTTTAAACACACAGTGCAATTACACACCAGAAATACTCTGTCATCACACACTAACAGTATATCCTGGGTCTTACTGCCTTTAAGCACAGGTTAAGAGCTACAGCTACAATAACTTCCATAATACTTTGAGGATGAATTTTCCTGTGATCATAAAATATGTGAGGGTATCACCATTGGCTTCCCCCCAAAGAACATAAAGCTTCTATCCTGCAACTTCAAGAACAAGTGTTTCGCCAGCAGCCACTATAAGCCCAGAGAGGCGTAAATCTAGTCTGTGATTTGTGAATTTAAATGTTGTGATTCTCCATCTCACAAAAAGAGAATGAAAAACTTGAAATAAAGAAGTTATCCCACAACCATCAGGGCGTGACTCAAAGGTCAAGCTGGAGTCCTAATACTGGGAAGAGAAAAGACATTTTTAAAATATTCCTCAAATATTTTGCTCTAAAGCCCTGTAAGCCCAAAACACCTGTTTCACTAGAGTCTAATGCAAAGACTAAGAATATAAAAAAACACAGAACAAAACATTCATGAACCTGACATTACATGACATTTTTTTAATGGAATATTTCAGGTACAGCTAGTGAAAATAACTAAATGGAAGGAAAGACAGAAATCATAAGCACTGAGGTTTTCCTAACATTAATGACAGACAACACCTGTCCAAGGAGCTCAGTAAACAAAAAATCAAAACTCCTAAAATGGAGACCAATGCATGCTATAGTCAAAAGAAGAAAAAAACAAAGGCAAAGAGAATAAATTATAAAAAGCCAGAGGTAAACTTTTATGTACACAAAAAGACTAGAATCAGATTCAACTTCTTTTCAGTACAAACATAAACTAAAACAAGAATCACGTTGACTGAAATATTTAATGATTTCATATTAAAAAAAAACTTCCTAGAATTTTGTTAGCAAGCACAATTAGGAAAAATTAAGAATACAAAGCCATTTTCAGAAAAAAAATTGAGGGAATTAGTCATTAATATAACAAGTTTGAAAGATACCTTTGAAAATTCATTAGAAATGGGGTGGTCAGCAGTTGACAATCCACCTGCCAATGCAGTGGACACGAGTTTGATCCCTGCTTTAGGAACATTCCACATGCAAAGTGGCAACTAAGCCAATGGGCCACATGTACTGACTCTGATCTCTAGAGCTCTAGGGCCAGAACTACTGAGCCAGCATACTGCAACTACTGAAGCACTAGCCCATAGAATCGATGCTCCACAAGAAAAGGCATCCCAGTGAGACACCTGCTCACCAAAACTAGAGACTGGCTCTCTCTTACTGCAACTAGAGAAAGCCTGAGTGCAGCAAGGAAGAGCCAGGACAGGCATAAAATAAATAAATCTTTAAGAAAAAATTCATTGGAAAGAATATAAATTACACAGGTGGACTGACTAAAAGCAGCATTCTTGTTGTTGTTCAGTTGCTCAGTCTTTTCTGACTCTTTGTGGCCCTGTGGACTAGAGCATGCCTGGTGCCTCTGTCCTTCACTATCTCCTAGAGTTTGCGCTGATTCAACGATAAACATGTAGTCATTATGACTACAAGGGAAGAAAGAAAGAACTAATATAAGGAAGACACACAGGGGAAATGAAAATGTAAAGGACTTAGTAAAATCAGGCATCCATTTATCATCACAAACAAGAAATAGAGGCAACTTCTACTTCCTAAGAAAGAACATGTTCCTGAATTCTGTAGGTAAATTCAAATAGTCATTCTGTGGCACATAACTATGTCTGTGAAACATTTGAAAGATACTCCAACAACAGATAACTCTTGGTTAAGGAGACATATTCAGAGTCTTCGCTGGTAGCCTAGTGCTTAAGAATCTGCCTTGCAATGCAAGGGATGCAGGTAAGAACCCTGCTCCAGGAATTCAAGTCCTGCATGTCCCGGGGCAATCAAGCCTGGCTGCTTTAGAGCCCCTGCTCCATAACAAGAGACGCTGATGTGCCTGAACTACAGAAAAGTCAGCAAGCTGCAGCAAAGATCCAAAGCAGTCAATGTAAAGATGATGAACATTATAATAATAATCGGGAAAATAAAAACTTGAAACTTCAACAACAGGGCAAGACTTATCCTAATATCGGAAGAAAATCAGTATCTTCCTAGAGAGCCACACTGATGTTGGCCAAAGGAAAGGAAAGGCAATTCAAATGAAAATAAACTTTTTTTAACAAATAGTGCAAGAATTAATAGATATTCACAAACACACAAATAAAATGAATGTTGACACAGGACTTACATATTTTACCAGAAAAACCCTCAAAACCATTACAGATCTAAATGTAAAGTACAAAAGTAATAAACTCTTGCAAAATTTCACAGAAAGAAATTAAGTCACCTTGGCTTTGATGATTAATTTTCAAACAACAAACACAAGGCCTATAAAAGAAAATAAGTATAATTTCACTTCATTAATAGAAAACACCTCCTCTGAGAAAAAGAGTGTTAAGAGAATGATAAGCCAAGTCACAGGAGAGGAGAAAATATTTGCAAATCACTTATGTGATAAATGGGGCTC